ATGAGGTATACATTTCAAGTATATCGTAGTACATTATTTATCGCAGTACAACACATCAAAAGCTAAGGTCGATATAAGGGTCAATTTCGCAAAATATCTTGAATATGAAGGGACCAGGACAACCCTTAAAAGAATATGTCAAACCGCCATTTTACGTAAAAATACATCATGAGTGTATGGGGAGGGAGTTAGTTTTGATAAACATCTTGAACAAGAAGGGGCCAGGACAACCCTTAAAAGAATATGTCACACCGCCATTTTACGTAAAAAAACACTATCATGAGTGTATGGGGAGGGAGTTAGTTTTGATAAACATCTTGAACATGAAGGGGCCAGGACAACCCTTAATAGAATACCGGAGCAAAAGTAAAAGTAATGAATGAAAAAATATTAAAAAAACACAATTGGCTGTATATGGTATAACCTTACACATACAAATGGGTCAATACCCTCCCCCCCCCCTCCATAGCAGTCAGTCTGACCCATGTCTCTCCCGTGGAGCCGCGGTGGCCAAGTGGTTAAGGCGTCTGACACTCTGCTATCACTAGCCCTCCACCACTGGGTCGCGCGTTTGAGGCCTACGTGGTTTTTCTCTGGGAACTCCGGCTTTCTTCCACCACAAAAACCTGGCACGTCCTTAAATGGCCATAGCTGTTAATAGGACGTAAAACAGAAACAAACAAATCCATGTCTCTCCCTCTCCCGTTATAGCAATAAAGGACGAAATATCGTTATTAAATTTAAAAATTAAACCAGTATAGTTATTAAACTTTTGTTGTTACCAATGCTTAAATAATGGAATTTCAATACGTATATGAGATAATCTCATTGCGTTTCCATAACCCATTTTGAAGGAGTGTACATGTACGCTGCACCAAGGTCATCTGATTTCAATGCGCGGATACAGAACGAGTCTAAAATTACACTGAATTGTAGTAAGCCAGCTCGTGCAAGGAATTTTCAATTTCAATACCAGATTTCATCAATGACATTCAGTCTTGTTCCGCCCTTCAATTTATTGAAGGCAAGGTTGATGATCTTGTTGAAGCATACACATTTGGTATAGAAGCCCTTATAGAGAAACACGCACCTCTGCAAACGAAGGTGATAACTGTGAGACCAAATGCCCCGTGGTATAATGAAAATCTCCGCGTGGAAAAACAGAAACGTAGACAAGCAGAGAGACAGTGGCGACGGACCAAATTAACCGTTCACCAACTGATTTATAGAGAGCAATGTCGGCTAGTTGGTTCACTGCTATTTCAGTCAAAGAAGGCTTATTATTCGGGAAAAATCGAAGGATGTGGCAAGGATAAAAGAAAACTTTTTAAACTCACCAAAAACCTAATGGAACAGAAAGGTGAATTTATCCTACCAAACTGTAATTCTGAAAAAGACTTAGCAAGCAAGTTCAGTGATAACTTTCTGAATAAAATCAGCTCAATCAGGAAAAATATTACCAAAGTGAACACCTCTGCTGACATTGACATCTCTGTCATGACTGCTGCTCTCACCAACAACCCAGGACGAGTTGTGCAACATTATCATGACCTCGCAATCGAAGTCCCGTGAGCTTGATCCACTACCTACAGTCATATTAAACCAATGTCTTGAAGCACTGCTTCCTTTGATTACCGCAATCATGAATAAATCATTGGTTGAGTCAAAGGTTCCATTATGTTTCAAGAAGGCACATGTCAGACCATTGTTAAAAAAGCCTGGAATGAACAAGGAGGAATTGAAAAAGTACCGTCCAGTTTCAAATCTGCCTTTTCTGTCTAAGATTTTGGAGAAGGTTGTGTCCCGGCGTTTAGGGGTTCATCTCCATGCAAACAGTCTCCATGACAACATGCAATCGGCCTACCGCATGGGACACTCTACTGAGACGGCCCTCCTACGTGTACATAGTGATATAGCTTCTGCATTGGATAACAAGTGCAGAGCGGTGCTTGTCATGCTGGACTTGTCAGCTGCATTTGACGTCATCGACCATGGCATACTTTATAAACGTCTGGAATACTCTTATGGAGTGACTGATACCGCACTATGCTGGATACAGTCATACCTGAGTGAACGACGACAGTGTGTTGCCATCGGATCTGCCACCTCACATGACAAAGTACTAGATTTCGGGGTTCCTCAAGGGTCGGTGTTAGGACCACGAAAATATTGTATGTACTCCAAACCGATTGGAGAGATTTGTCGTCGCCATAGCCTTCGCTATCATTGCTATGCTGATGACACACAAATTTACATGGTCATAAAACCACAGGACAGTTGGAATACAGTCTCAGAAAGTCTGGAAGCTTGTCTGACAGATATCAGTATCTGGATGAACGCCAACATGCTTAAACTTAATCAGGAAAAGACGGAACTAATCGTCTTTTCCCCAAAGTGTCAGCAAACAATGGCTCTCCAGCTCAAGGTTGGTGCCAGAACTATTGAGACTGTTCCAGCTGTTAAAAACCTAGGGGTATACTTTGACAGTTCTCTGAACATGGAGAAACAAGTGAACGCTATTGCCAAATCCTGTTACTACCAGATCAGGAACATCGGCTGTATTCGGCAGTTTCTAACTGCAGATGCATGCAAGATTTTGGTGCATTCACTTGTTACCTCTCGGTTGGATTATGGTAACGCCCTGCTCTGTGGTATATCTGACAAACTAACTAGTCGTCTGCAGAGGGTTCAGAACACTGCAGCACGGCTAGTTACTCGTACTCGAAAGAGAGAGCACATCACACCTGCGCTTTATTCGTTGCACTGGTTACCTGTACGATACAGGTCGCAGTACAAAATTCTGGTATACACATACAAGGCACTGAATGGAACAGCTCCTCAGTACCTACAGGAACTTGTTACCCTGTATCAGCCGTCAAGATCACTGCGGTCGGAGTCAGAATCTTTGTTGTGTGTCCCAAAATCTCGTACTGTGACCTACGGAAACAGATGCTTTGGGAGGGTTTCGGCTACGTTGTGGAATAGCTTACCATCTGCTATTAGGAAGTCGAATACCCTGGCCAAGTTCAAGAGGGACATAAAAACTCACCTCTTCACGTCTGCATTTTAGAATCTTTGCAAAGACGTCATGTAAATACCACCCTTTTATTTGTTCAATTATGTGCACATTGCTTGTTAAATGTATGAAAGTGATTGCAAGCCTTTGTTGTTTGTTTTCACAATTACAACCATTACTATTATCCATATGTTGTAAAGCGCCTTAGAGTAATTTTACAAATTATATAGGGCGCTATATAAATGCTGTATATTATTATTATTATTATTATTATTATATTATTATTATTAAAATTAACTTCAAATTTCCGGTGATGCAGCATGTGCATATCTCGTGTATTGTGAATACAAACATTACACCTGATTTTTTAATCAACTATAACAGGCGCTGTCTAAAGATTATTTTACTACAACGATAGTGGATCAAAGTCTCATTAAATATAAGTGTCTTTCTTTGATTTATTTATTGATTGATTGATTTATTGATTGATTGATTGATTTTTATTTATTTATTTATTTATTTATTTATTTATTTATTTATTATTTATTTATTTATTTATTATTTATTTATTTATTTATTTTATTATTTTTCATTTCTTTCCTGTTTTTATTCTTTTATTATTTATTCATTTCGGGGGTCTGGGTGTGGGTGGATTTTTTTTTTCTTATTTTTTTATCATTCTGGAACTTTATTTTTTTTAATTGTAATGAATTATTTCACTGACTGTAAAGTTTATATCTTCATTGTTACATAGTACTTGGACAAAATAGAAAAGTAGATAATTCACGTTGAATTGACATGTACTTGAACTCTAGCACCGGAAATGGGAAGTTACTCTCATTTCTGTTCCGGTTTGCAATCGCCGGATTCAGCTATATCTGTAAACTCAAAAGCAACGTGTCACTTTTCCCGCATTATCACGGAAATATGCCAGGCACGTCTCTGCACACAAAACACCGCCACCGCCTTGGGTGTATCGGTAGAAACATGAGTTGAATTCGAACAATTTATACATGTGTGATGTGTTTATGCACGGAATTAGATGATCTAAGTCCCTGGTTTATGGTACAAATGGGGATAGGATTTATTCAACGGGAACGCACTCCAAAAAAAAAGAAGTTTTCTTGAAGATTTGATTGATTATCACAATGTACACTCCGAGTTGTATCGGCTAAAACAACAGATTATCTCATCTAAAAGAAAACAAAATGTCCAAAGGAGTAAGAAGATAAAGTCAGCTCATTGACAATGGCGGATATTGAATTTCTAAATGGGGTGGAGCTCAACATTTCGAGCGGTAATTCCCTCAAATCTGAAGACGAGACCCTAAATCGGTCCTTCACTCGTTATGTCCCTTCGTTGACCGTCACTGGCGATGTAATTAGATAGTATAAACTGATGGTTCCAGAACTTTAAAAAAAGCACCACAAGACAACACCGAAGTGTCCACGAAACCGTTATCAATAAAACTAGTGGAAATTATGAATACAAAATACTTTGAGGCCCTTGAAAACGTACAAGGAGAATAAAACCACATGTTCCCTAAAAGTAAGCGTCTTTTACCCACGTCAGTTCCAAGTACTATATTAACATTGTAATGTCAATGTCATGGGTAACCTCACTAATCTCAACATATCATGACATCTGAGAAAACGATGATATTAAATTCCAGCCGTCCTGCTTCCAGTGTTGGTCTGAAATAAATTAAAGGAATACAAAATGCAAACACATTTATTAGATATATGACATTTTTGCAAAAGTAAAGAAAAAACAAAGTGAATTAATCATACGTTCGAGAACGCTTAAGATAATAAAGGAATCAAACAAGTGGTCAAGAATCCCCGTTGTCTGAATTCAATACCCGGATAAATTGTCCTGAACCGAACACTTCAAAATTACTAGTCATGACGTATTTATTGATCATGGTCTTCTTTACACTTGCCTGGGTTACGACTGAGTTGGGGTCTTGATTTCAAGCGTGGATATGATCTGGTTTACATGTTATTGAGTTCCGGGTGTGGGCCAGTTTATACCTGTATGAGCAGACGGTTAGCAGACAAGGTGGGCAAATGACTGTGTATCGGTAGGATTTCCAGCCACCATGAAACGCGTCGGGTACTGGATTAGCGAAAAGAAGGCAAAGAGCCTGAATTTGGAGGATCAAAAAGAAGTTTTCAGGTATATAAGTCTGTAGTGAATATTTGCTTAAAAGTCCACCTATTATTCAACGTTTGCAAAGTGCATTAAGGTTTTAGATGCAATTCTACTTATAAAAAAACTAGGTCAAGTTCATTGTTTGTTTACATTTGCTAGCAAATTAACTGCCAATGCGTGAACACGTGTTAGGCTACTAGCCGCTCCGGAGGATGATTTGTCAACTGGCTCTACGTATACCTGGTCGAAAGCTCCAGAACTTACAGATGTATCTTACATATAACCAGTATAAACACTTTATCGCTAAGTTAATAGCAGAGCTTTAGTTCAAAGTTCAAATAATTTGTTCAGTGTTCAAAAAAACCTTATAGCAGACGACATGTACAAAATTAATGATAATAAAGGTCACAACTGAAGTAGGATATGCTCAGTCATGTGTAGACCCTATATGGCTGACAATATAAATATAAACAGTATACAAAATAAAGTAGGTTATCTCTATGTGCTGTTAAAAATAATTGTCACATTATGTAACAGAAGGATTGCCACAGTAAAAGATGATAATTTTATGTAAAGTAAATGTTTGGTCTGTTGTTCAGGTATATTATCTTGAATACAAAAGAAATATAATGAACGAAGCAAACCATGTTGAGTGCTCTTTTTTTTTTATCATTTTTAAAGATCTCTGTCAGGGAAGCTATCACAGGGGTGTGTTTCTAATGTTTCCTTCCAAAGATTACTGTCCACCATTTTAGAGTAGCTATGTATACAATTGTAGGAGTCACTATGTGTACAGTGTTCTAAACCTGTCTAAATAAAACACACAGTGGAATAAACAGGGTTCCATTTTACACAGGTTACATATGTCTAGAAAAATAAAAGCAGTGTAAATGTCTACAAATTATATCAGACAGCAACTTTTTTTTACATTTTATTTGAAACATGTTATCAATTTTCAATTTTTCATTTCCTTTTACCTAATCTTGATCAAGAGTCACTATGAAAAAATAAAATGTCAAATAAAATCAATTTTCTATTTACAGGTAGTAATTTAGTGACTATACATGTTTTTCTATTTTAGATATCAATCTCATTCATGTTTTAAACACTAGTACTGGAAGTCATATAAATAGAAGGATTTTTTCTGATTCAAATTTTCTTGGATTGTTTGCATTTTCCCAAGACAATCTGGCAAGTAAAATGTGAAATTAGGTATTGTTTTCCTTATATGTGAAGTAAATTTGTTTAGTGTACAGGGAGTGTACTACTTAGTACTAAAGAAGGGAAATGAAAAGCTGACTCAGATGAGCACCTGAAAGCTAGCTTGTCAGCAGATGATTGGCTAGCTAGCTATAGGGATGTGGGAAATTCGAAGAGGTCGCTCAAGTTGTTTTATATATCTGGTCAACACAGGTTTCAAAAAATGTTGAGTTGAGATCAAACTTTTTCTGGAGTATAAAATTCATGGTCGAGTGATTTAAGATAGGGTGGATAATCTCATGATCATCGTAAACAAACTTGGTTATAATAGGTAGAGGTCAATTGTCAGCATGTTACAATTTCTGTCAATGTCCTATAACAAACAAAAATAAAGAATGGGTAATATGTGGAATTTTCTTTACATTATTGATGTTATCAGATGATATTACAGAAACACCCAAATCATCAAGGATTGTCACCCTCAATTGTTGTGAAATAATACAATTTAAATGGAATCTCTGTATATATATATATTTATGTATTTATTCTGTTCCATTATTCTATAGAAAGGATTTTGTTGTCATTTTACTTAAATACATTATTCATTGCATTTTAGGGATCAGGAAAGGGGGTCATGTCTGGCTCTGTGTAAGACTTATAAATACATACATATATTTGTCACAGTATTAGATATGGTATATTCATGGGTCTACTTCTATATTTGATATACTAGTACTGTGTCATATTATTCATAAAAGAAATTCTACTATTTATAACATATTAATTATAGTCATTAATATTACCTCTTAAAATCTTTATTTATTTGTACAATGAAGATGCTAAAAGTTCCCCAAAATGTGTGTTCCATATACATGTAGTTCTTGACTGGGTAATTATTTCCTGCTGAAAGAAAAAACTTTTGAAGCAATAACTTAAAGAAAATACAATCAGGAAATGTCTAAACAAATAAAATACAATCAGGAAATTCAAAATACCATATAATACATAAGTTTTTTTAGTTATTAAACCAGAAACATATGTTTAGGCCAAAATAAATGTATTTATAAAAAAATGCTGTAACGCCCAATTCAAGTGTACTTGTAGAATTATTCGGCAGAGAGCTGACTTGATTTCATATTCTGCTGGCAGCCTGGCACACAGGCCAAGTAATGGACTGGACATGTGCCATCTGTTTACCTAGTATGCTTACAGTAATATTGACATTGTATGTATGTTTGTGTGACTAGGACATAATCGGTTAGCTTAATACACTCCTAGCCTAAGTCACTATATACATACATAGTATATAATACTTAATTACTAATGGATAAAAATAGACCCATGGACATTTAACTCATTCACCCCTGAAGACACATTTTTACTCTTTCAATTCAAAGGTTGGAATAGTTCATTATAAGATTTCAGGGGTGAATGAGTTAACTCAGTTATTTTTCCATATAGGGTACCGGTGTAGTCTGGTGGTGTTCAGCATATGATCAATGCTCGTCCATAATTGTTCAAATTATCATATTTAAATCTTTTAAATTAAGTGTTGTCAAAAACGGTCGAAGTCTAGTAACCTGTTACTCAAAGAATCTTTAGTTCAAGTAATTAGTTAATTAGTCAATTGTAAATAAAACAATATAAACAACAATAAATACAACGTATAATGTCCAAATATTTTATTCAAAACATGTTTACAATCCACATACATTTGTATATGATTAATTAGCATGGTAACTTACTTACGTATCTCAACCTCTCAACGCCCAAACGCAGGAAATATGTATATGTGCACTGTGTTATATCACTAAGTATATTTGATGGACAACATCCGTCAGAAGATAGCAGGAAGCAACACAACAAGATATTTCTGCTCGAAATCCTATATGCCAATTAAAACATTGGTTTTGAAACGCATAAATTGATCAACAAACTATTCTATAGATGATTGCTAATTTGATGGACAAAACAATTCATAGCTGATCATGATCATGATTGCACCTCTCTTAATGTTTCCATTCAGTTGTGTACTATAGCTCTTAAGATTATTTTTTCATGTCCCCATCTTAAAAGCGAGTTCTACCTGGCAAAGTTGGTTTATAATCTGTTCAGACTTTTTATGGTGTTGTCAGCATCTTTTTGTCAATCTTAACTATTGAATACAAAAAACAACACCCTGACAGGTCAGCATGGACACTGTTTTTATTACCAAAAAGGGTTTTAATACAAAAATCAAATTTCTCTCTCATCAACAGAAAATGTGTGCATGCAGGTCTAAGCGAGGTTAACATGGGGCTCCCCAGGGAGTAAATAAAATGTTTGACTATTTGGTTATTGATTTTGGTAACTGGTTTGTGGTCTTCTGACTTGAGTTACTGGTTAATTGAATGAATTTAATGATAATTTGAGTCCAAGTCAGAATGTCAAGCTGAAGTTGACACAAAGCTAGACTCTGAAGAAATCTTCTAAGACACATACATGCAATGTATATATATGTATACCACTGGTATTGGTCTATCTTCAAATTAATGAAGTTTCCATAGGTTGAACTGAATAGCACTTAAATCAATATTAAGAACTGCATGTATCTTTAAACTCAGGGGTGGGGCAAAGATTCCTACTCCAACAGTAATGTGTACAGTGTATATAAATAATAATACACATATATGTACGGACCATGGTAATGGGGATCCGTGCCACGCCCCAATGTCTTTATATATAAGGGTTTGAGAATACTTTTAAAATGACTTTCTTTAATTTTTCCTGATCATTCTCTGTACATTTGTGGACTACAGTGTGCCTGCAGTAAAAACGTTTTGTCACGAATGAATACCAAAAGGAACATATTATCATTATTCACTTGAACATTCGAGAAAAGGTTGATTTTATTAAAATAGATATCTATAAAAATGACCACAATCTGATAAATTTTGAAATTATTGAAAAACAGTCTCATATATGAAATTGACATTATTTACTGAAAATTATCTTATATTTACATTTTGTGAGTGATTATTTCAAAATGACACAATACCACAGTATTGTTTTGTCACTCTTCTATAAAAATCTTCATTTCTTGTACATCTTTTGAAAATCCGTTTAGGCCAAAATAAATCCAGTGGATTTGTTTTTGTTATAACTCATAAACAAATAATCAAGTACCGGTAGATGTGAAAAACTTACATTTTTTATCATTATAATACTTAATTAGTTCTACTGATCTTCATCTCCTTTATTTTCCTCAGTGATAACAGCTCCAACATTATTGATATTACTATATATGTATACATACTTTACGTGAGCTCGTTCTCATCAACATTTCTGTTAATAAGTTTTTTCACCTTGATATTTCAGAAATGCAGGCATTGAATTGATTAAGGTAAGCAAATCATATTTTAATAACATAAATGTAAATAGAGAGACTTGAGGGCATATATGCTACCTTACTAAATGAGACCTGACCTTTCAAAAAAGTGCCACATCAGGAACCCAACTCTCACAAATATATTAGTAATTTGCACTTTGAATGAGGACACATATGGAAAGTATACATGTCTTGCAACACATTTTAAGGCCGACAATTTTTAATCATATCACAAGCATAAACTTAGCTTGATCTGTGGTTTGAAGGACTTATAAATGTAGATAAGTTCATATTTTGAGATACATATAATGAAAGAGAATTCAGAAATATTTCAAGGGAGAAAACTCCGATTCAAAGTCACAGCTATAATGTGTAAGGTAGCATATATACAGCCTTAAATTTAATATGCGACTGAATTTTTAGAACTTTGATTAAATCCTAATGTGCTGAATTTTAGTATAGGTAGTTGACACAACAGTAATTGCTGCTTTGATGTGGGTATCAGGTTGCATAGTTCTAGATTTAGATTAGTCCAAATTATAAATGCCAATTTAAAATATATTTATATTTTTTATCAGTGAAATATCAGAAATTTTTCAGTTAAATAAAACTTATCTTCACTACAATGATGATGACGATACACAGAATCTTATAACTTTTCATGTAAAGATACTGGTACCACCTTTTCATGTTAAGATACTGGTACCACCTTTTGAACGAACTCTTCAGAACATTACTTCTTAAGATATGTTCACTGCATTCACAGCCAGAGTTTTTCAGTGGCGGATACAGATAAAGTGTTGGTATAACAATTGTTTATTTTGGTGCACCATCATTGGTCCATATAGACGTTATGGTATTTACATAACTACACAGTTGATAATAACAATCTTGAAAGTAGATCTTGCCAGGTAATAGCAGAAAACAACAGAATTGCTTCAAGTAGCCAGTTAAATTAAAATGACACACATCCTTATATAAGCTTGATGTCAATCATGACATCGTTAGAATATTGCACCAAATATTACGTTCGTGTTAACATTTTCGTAGTTGCACTTTAAAACCGTAATAAATAGAAAAAAATAATAGTTTTCTTTAGAATGTTATATATATGTATATATGTATACATGGTAGATAATAAATAAATAAGTCCTTGCGAAGGAAAATATAGAATAAAAACATAAATTTTTCAGATCGTCCGCTAGGCCTTTCTGACTTCTAGGGCTTCTTCAGGCGGATTCTTGAAGAAGCCCTAGATGGCAGAAAGGCCTAGCGGACGATCTGAAAAAAAATTGTTTTTATTCTATACATACATGTGTATTTTACAGGTGTTTCAGAATACTTATATTTGTATTTTTCATGAGCGCAAAGAACAAGTGCAAATGTCAGTTTGTCTGTTCTAGCTGCTTCGCGAGTTAAATTATATACCTCACACATTTAAATTTTGACTAAACTGAGTCTAAATCCTTTATTAACCTTTGAGCTTCAGATATCAGTGGTGATGTTGAATGTAGAAAAGTCTTCTGTTACATACAAATTGTTTTCGCATCAATTTGAAACATCTGCTGTTATTATATTTATAACCACGGATGATAGTTTGTGAACCGATTTGAGACGACCTATATATAGCTATGAACTATGTGTTGATAAAGCAGTATATATAAGAACCTCAAATTATGATGATATTTGGCAGACACTATATGAACAGATCCATACATCTGTTCTCGGTCACATTGTACATATGTACGGAACATCGGTAACAGACAGAGACACGATTATTGATTACTGCCACTCGTTTATCATTAATCACTGGACATCCATTCCAGACGAGGCACACATGGCTACAATTGACGGCCATAATATAATGTTTACACATTTCCCAATGGTCAATATTAAATAACGGGCCTTTATGAATTGCCTCTATTACGTTATTTTGTGTGTTAAACATGTATGTAAAGCCAACATTATCTTCCTTAAAAAAATATTTCAGATGAAAATATGGGAAATATTACCGAGTCTTTAAATGATTATAAACATGAAGTTATTGGCTGAAATTAATATTCTTCACAAATATTTATGCAATTTTGCATATTTTTTTGCTAATTATGAAAAAAAGTATAAAAAAAACCACTACAGTGAGAATTTTTGGATTTCGTGTACACCACCATTGTGTCTGCTGAATTTTATTTCAAGTATAATGTGCTGATCTGAGATTTTATGAAGGAGGGGAGGAGGGATGCAGGGTCTAGGGATGAACAGCCCCAGTGGGTAGAATGGGGATGAACCCGCTAAGAAGCTGTAGAAAAGTCTTTGCTAAGGCCAAACAAAAAATATGCATGTTTCAGGTACCGTGACCAACCCTAGTTTTTACCTCCAACCCTAACAATTTTTTTCCCACTCGAATGCAGTCCATCCAGTGTTGAGATTATACTTGTCCACGGCTGAAAACATATTGATGGAGTCCATCCCTAACCCTAACCCTAACCCTGTCCAGGACAAACAAACAAGGCAACTATATATGACCCTATCTACTTCATATAATAGGCACGTATATATATATCAAAACCAAATTTAAATCCCATATTGTTATTTATAAGACCTTAAAATATGCTGGGTGATTTTCATAATTTCTGAAATAAGCCCCCAAACCCTCAAAAATTTAAAAAAAAACCATGTTACCTGAAACATACATAATTTTGTTTTTGCCTAACCGAGGATATTGATGAAGACTATGGATTACTGTGACAAAATGGGCTTACCCAATAGTTAATTTAATTAATTAATGTGATTAATTTATGTTAGATTCATCCTATCTTTGGATTGTAAGTCGTGTGCTAGTCGGGGTCAGTAATGTGTCAGGTAACAGTAGCCTAAAGGGTACATGTAATACTTTAGAGTAATTATAGTCACATAGGTATGTACCAAGTATTTATGATGACAGGTTTACAGATGATGGCTGTAGGCAATGATGTAACATATGGACTGGAAAACGTATTTAACGGGGTGCATCCCATATTCAGGGGGTCGGGGAATTGGCCATGAGAAGGGACAGGTCAATTTGGACCCAGGTTCAGAGAGACAGAGTATGGGGTGTGTGGCCATGGTTTGGCACAGGCCTAGTTACTCAGCTCAAAGTCAGAGACACAACGTGAAGTATTACCATACGTAGATGAGATGTTGTAACCACCTGTACATGTACCTGTAATGAGATGTTGTAATCACCTGTACATGTACCTGTAATGAGATGTTGTAACCACCTGTGCATGTACCTGTAATGAGATGTTGTAACCACCTGTACATGTACCTGTAATGAGATGTTGTAACCACCTGTACATGTACCTGTAATGAGATGTTTGAGTAACGTCTATTAATAAACATTACTTTTATCAACTGTTACATGTGTTTACGGCTGCTGTGTTACACAATATACTGGTACGTTTCACAATTAATTTCACAAATTGACCTGTATTTCACTTTGCAATCAAAACAGATACATCTTAGTATTTGTACCTATACTATATGACACTTGAATTTGCGATTCATGCTAAATGTGAAAATATAATCTTTATAAGTTACTTGCAGAACACATATTTCCTCTAGCTCTGTTAGCATTATGTAAAGGATAGTTCTACTAATTATAACCATTGTTCGATGAAATTGGAAAAGATTTTGCTTACATTGATACAAAACACAGTTAACACGACTGCTGCCTTTGTTTCACACTACTTTACCGGTAATTTAATGCTATTTCGACAGCTCTTTGCAGTATCACTGTAAATGTTTATGTACCATCAGACTGATAGGGGTTAAGTTCATGGTGTGAATTTTCATTGTATCCATTAAGTAAACTATGACAATGATGTCAATGATAATTTTGTGGTAGTGTGTATCATTTTACAGCGCGTAGGTGACACTTAAGCATATAAGCTGAGAATAGATTCCAGGCTGTGAAAACGTTCGCGTAAAACTTGATGCAAACACGTTTCTGGTAATATTAAACAATTATGCAACATTTAAACCCAAAACCCCAGGCAGAAACAGTATCCCTCTTAACCCTTTCACCACTGTGGACCATAACGAATTCTTCCTCATTACGTACATGGTAAAGTCTACTAAAGTTACTTAAGGGTGAAAGGGTTAAAATGTGAATATTTTTACTTCTTTTTATTATGAAATCCTATCATAAGGTGGGTGATATAGTGCTCTGATAATGGAACTTGACCTAATTCCTTACAATGTTGTATATATACCATATTTATTTAGCAATAAGCCCATGCCTGGTAATAAGCCCACCAATACTTAATGCAATTCAGTAGAAATTTTATTTCATCATCCTCCATTATTAATAAGCCTATCACCCCCCTTCTAGTCGGAGGTAATGTATTTGCCCCCTGGCTTTTTATGGGGTAGTTTTATGTCCACTATACTTTGTCTGTTAGATGGTGTTTCTCTATAGGTAACATTGATCATTACGATGTTAGATGATGTAAGTATGTAAAACAAAACACAAAACTCACATAGGACAAATACAGTAATAATCTGCTGATCAATCTTCGAACAGAAAACAATATAAAGCAAATCACAGGATAAATACGGTAATGTTCTGTGAGGATGAAACAGTAAATCACAGGATAAATACGGTAATGTTCTGCGAGTACAAAACAAAGCTGTAAAACATAGGATAAATACGGTAATGTTCTGTGAGGATGAAACAAAGCTGGGATAAATATGGTAATGTTCTGTGAGGATGAAACAAAGTAAATCACAAGATAAATACGGTAGTGTTCTGTGAAGATGAAACAAAGCTGGAAAACACAGGATAAATACGGTAAGGTTCTGTGAGTACAAAACAAAGCTGTAAAACACAGGATAAATACGGTTATGTTCTGTGAGTACAAAACAAAGCTGTAAAACACAGGATAAATACGGTATTGTTCTGTGAGGATGAAACAGAGTAAATCACAGGATAAATACGGTAAAGTTCTGTGAGGATGAAACAAAGCTGTAAAACACGGGATAAATACGGTAATGTTCTGTGAGGATGAAACAAATCTGTAAAACACAGGATAAATACGGTAATGTTCTGTGAGTACAAAACAAAGCTGTAAAACACAGGATAAATACGGTATTGTTCTGTGAGGATGAAACAGAGTAAATCACAGGATAAATACGGTAAAGTTCTGTGAGGATGAAACAGAGTAAATCACAGGATAAATACGGTAAAGTTCTGTGAGGATGAAACAAAGCTGTAAAACAAAGGATAAATATGGTAATGTTCTGTGAGGATGAAACAAAGTAAATCACAAGATAAATACGGTAGTGTTCTGTGAAGATGAAACAAAGCTGTAAAACACAGGATAAATATGATAATGTTCTGTGAGGATGAAACAAAGTAAATCACAAGATAAATACGGTAGTGTTCTGTGAAGATGAAACAAAGCTGTAAAACATAGGATAAATACGGTAATGTTCTGTGAGGATGAAACAAAGCTGGGATAAATATGGTAATGTTCTGTGAGGATGAAACAGAGTAAATCACAGGATAAATACGGTAAAGTTCTGTGAGGATGAAACAGAGTAAATCACAGGATAAATACGGTAAAGTTCTGTGAGGATGAAACAAAGCTGTAAAACACGGGATAAATACGGTAATGTTCTGTGAGGATGAAACAGTAAATCACAGGATAAATACGGTAATGTTCTGTGAGTACAAAACAAAACTGTAAAACACAGGATAAATACGGTAAAGTTCTGTGAGGATGAAACAGAGTAAATCACAGGATAAATACGGTAATGTTCTGCGAGTACAAAACAAAGCTGTAAAACACAGTATAAAGACGGTAATGTTCTGTGAGGATGAAACAAAGCTGGGATAAATACGGTAATGTTCTGTGAGGATGAAACAAAGTAAATCACAGGATAAATACGGTAGTGTTCTGTGAAGATGAAACAAAGCTGTAAAACACAGGATAAATACGGTAATGTTCTGTGAGGATGAAACAAAGTAAAACGCAGGATAAATACGGTAATGTTTTCGTAAATCAATCTACTGTACTGCCATTATGAGGTTCTCTTTGGAGACGTCAATATATCTGAATAACACTATACTAAACATGGCTCTTAATCTTTTGTTTATTGATAGGATTGAGTAAACACAGCAATAATCAGATGATAAAAGGTAACAGACAAGAGCGATGTATGATTCTAGGGAACACAGTGACATTACCAAGAAAACATAACTATATGAATTCATTCAATTCAAATGAATTCCTGCTAAGTTAAACAAGTCACTGGTCATACATACATGAGGTCACTGCTTTATTCGTGTGGTATATAGTCTCGTCAAGTTATTCAATTGTATCAGATTATCTTTAGCCGGGTATTATATGTTTATAAATATAGCAGTTGGGGGTGGATTGGTGTGGGGATCGATTTAAGCATAACATTCTATAGGAACACTGAATATCATAATTAGTATCTAGTTATCATGAAATCCAGATATTTGTCCTACATTTAATTGGCATTTACCTTGTAAGTTTTACTGAGTGGGTGTAAGTTTTAAAAAAGTCTGTGAAGATTGAAAATCGAAATGTCTTTTATTATTCAAGATATTTAAAACCTTAAATTCTCAAAAACTTTGTGAGGAGAGACAAATATAGTAAAGTATATTGAATCAGAATAAAAAAGTAGGTGTTTGTTTTCAATTACTCGATCTTGGGGGTATTCAAAATTTGTGAAAGGGCGTAGATATAGATATCGAGGCCCCTTGTGTTTGATTTCAATGGTTTTTATATTTGGATAAAAGGGATCCACAGTTGATTAAATGTTTGTTGTTTAATGAATATGAATAATTGATAAAGTGTATCTACAGTATCCTCGGGGGAGGGGGGGGGATGATGATGTGTGTGTGTTATTGATGAAATGTATAAGGGGGTATAATTGCTGCGTATGTTGGGGTAAAGATGTGGTCGAGTGGTGTAGTGGATATACACTGTATAGCGCACTCGCCCTTCACCAAGACAACCTCGATTTGATTGGGTGAGAAAATGTATTTTGTCAGCTGCTTGCATGGCCACAGTGGTTTTCTCCAGAGTATGTAGTATAATATACGGGTACCCCCTGCCACATTGAGACCTGTGCACTTCCATCTAGGCCACCAAGAGTGGTTTATATATATTGTAAAACTTGTTTCATAATAGTTGTAAAATAAACAAAGTTTATAAATTTATACTTATTGAAGTGTACAGTGCATTCGAGGATATAATTTTTGGAATGTGATGGGGGACTATACAGTCGTTGAAGAGTGCTGAACATAATGTCCATTTATGGTAAAATCAGCAAAAGACATTTAAACATGATAAGATAGAAATATATGGTAATTAGTTAAAAAAAAAAAAAAAAGTAGAAAAATTTAGCATGTCTATCATATTCAGCTGTTATCAATGAAGATGCAATGTGTTGAAATCAGAACATACCCATGTCTATGTATAATTTACCCGCTTAAAATGAGGACTTTTAAAAAGCAATTAAAGTTGGTTGTGCTAAGTTTTAATCAAAAACATAAAACGAGAACTTGAGCAAGTCTATGATTCAAAATAACCCAGCATGTGATCACACTATGTGTACAGATGTATGTCGAGCACTTATATCTGTGGAAGTTTGAAAAGCTTCAAATTTATGAAATGTGTACAACTGCCAGACTTGTAAAGGATGTATATAATCTCAAAGCTGTGGCTGGCGATGTAAGACTTGTTAGCTTCACGAAAGTTTTTGTAATTAATAAAACAAAAATTTCGCAAAAAGAATTTTTTTCAACAAATGCCCATACATACCTTTTTCTAAAGGTATCGAATATGATGTCAAATACAAACAGGTTTTGTTGAACCACTTGAAATTTTATAGAAAAAAAAATTAGATTAATTCTTCATAAGCTCTAATCATTTGAAGTTGCTGATACTTTATTATAAACAGGGGGCCTTAACGTGATCAACTGTTAGGAGAGAGAGTCAACTGTATATATATATTTGTTCAGGAGTAAACCCATTCTGGCTTTATCACAGTATTGAAAACATTTACTCTGACTTTAAAGTACAGGTAAGAATAGCTATTGAAAATGAACATTTTCTGTGGTCAAGAAAGGAGTTCTTTGCATTAGTATAGGTACATGTACTTACAAAACAATTTGTGTTGATTGTTGATAGACTTGATTAAAAAATGCTCCTTTTGCGAGAAAGTTCTGATATACATGCATAGAAACATGCTAAAACTATTCATAGATTCCTACATCAGCTATTCTTTAAGAAACAACAAATAAAAAAAATAAAAAAAATATGGGACAAATAAAAATGAAGGAGGTACAAGATTTTTTTCAAATTTCCCATACAACTGTCTACTAGGAAATTAGCGCTACAGTTGAAGTTTTGACTTCGCACTCTGTAATGACAGCAAATTTGTCATACATGGCATTCCAATGTGCAGGACAAAAATAACATTGGGTAAACACAATTTTGCCAGTGTAGGGTAAATGTTTGTCTGGGAGAAAGTTTACCGATACTTTACAGCGAATACAGTCAACATGGCTATAGTAGATATCACATTAATCACGACTCAGCCTCACTGTGAAATCGCATGCTATACAAAATGACGAATTAAAAGGATGATACCTTTCTGTTTTATCTGTTACACGTTAGATAACCAAGCTACTCAGTAGTAAAGCGACATAAAACCACTCAAACCAACAAGCAAGGATGGTACTAGTCGCTTCAATTAAGACAGTATACAGTTTTATACTTGGTTAATGTTGTATAAAATATAACAAATTTGAAGTCTAGCAGGCATAACAAGTTTTATGAATGGTCTTATTTTTTTTACTTGGCCTAACATATCACTCACAGTGACTCCTGCACACCTTTTTCATGATTTTTTTTTAAAAAGAACTTCATCAACCAGAACTGATTATATATGGATTTAAAGTTAGTATCTTAATATTTATATATTCTAAGATTTTCTTAAAAAAGAAATCCAGATGAAATGAAAGCAACACATTGAAGCTTGTTGCATTTGACACAAATGTTGACCTATATATAGACAATGAATGTTGACCTATATATAGACAATGAATGTTGACCTATATATAGACAATGAATGGTGTTTTGAACACTACAGTGTAAGGATGCTCTGATCAATTTTCTGATATTATTTAATATTGCTATAAAAATTGGGGGAAATTGAATTTTAAAATGATTTTGTGTTTTACAGTTGGATTTACTTCACCCATTAGAGGACCAGGGACCATTTGATCTCATCCTTCACAAATTTACAGGTCTAATGGTGAAAGCAGAGGAGGGGGACGCATCATCGATCGCCACCTTAGAAAATGTCAAGGTAAGGAATAATCTAGAAAGGTCAAGGTCACTGATGATGATGTAAAAGCACCATCAGTGCTGGACACCTTACAGAATCTCAAGGTAAAGAGTGCTGCTGTAAAATGGTCAAGGTCACTGGTGATGATATAAAGGCAGGCTACCTTACAGAATCTCAAGGTCATTAGTATAGGATTGCTGTAAAAAGGTCAAGGTCACTGATGATGATATAAAGGCAGGCTACCTTACAGAATGTCAAGGTCATTAGTATAGGATTGCTATAAAATGGTCAAGGTCACTGATGATGATATAAAGGCAGGCTACCTTACAGAATGTCTAGGTCATTAGTATAGGATTGCTGTAAAATGGTCAAGGTCACTGATGAGGATATAAAGGCAGGCTATCTTACAGAATGTCAAGGTCATTAGTATAGGATTGCTGTAAAAAGGTCAAGGTCACTGATGAGGATATAAAGGCAGGCTACCTTACAGAATGTCAAGGTCATTAGTAAAGGATTGCTGTAAAAAGGTCAAGGTCACTGATGAGGATATGAAGGCAGGCTATCTTACAGAATGTCAAGTATGTGGTGGCCAAGTGGTTAAGGCGTCTGACATTCTGCTACCACTAGCCCTCCACCACTGAGTCGCGGGTTCGAGGCCTACGAGGGGCAGTTGCCAAGTACTGGCCGTTGGTCGGTGGTTTTTCTCCGGGAACTACAGCTTTCCTCCACAATCAAAACCTGGCAAGTCCTTAAATGACCATAGCTGTTAATAGGACGTAAAACACAAACAAACCAAACCAAACCAAAATGCTATACATAGCAGTATGAAAGGTCAAGGTTACTTTATCCACTATCTTTTCTATAAAAACTAGTGTTAGAAGAATTTGTTTGACAAAGCCTGACTTCAGAATTAAAGTTTGGTTAGGTAGGTAGCTAGGTAGGTGGCTAGGTAGGTAGGTAGCTAGGTAGGTAGGTAGGTAGGTAGGTGGCTAGGTAGGTAGGTAGGTAGGTGACTAGGTAGGTAGGTAGGTGGCTAGGTAGCTTAAGGATAAGTATTTTATTTCATGTAACAATTGTTACTTGTTTTACTGATTTGATAAAAGCTTTAAAGATATGTTTTAATGTGTTGTATGCTATGACATTTATAATGTAGAGTGTCATCTGATGGTAATATTTTCAATGTTTACTTAAAAGATAGGTACTAAACATCAAAATGGACAGCTACATGACACTTCAGTTAAAATATTGTATTACATGTTGTATAGGCAAATGTACAAGGTCATTTTAAAGTCATTATCACATGAATTAAACAAGTTAAGTTTTTTTACAGCACTGTGATTAATTATAATAAAGTAAATCCCCTATTTATTGCATCAACTGTGGAAAAATCTATTTTTATAGAAGCATTTTACAACTTTCAACTGTTTTCACAATCGATATCTGCATATAAATGGTAAAAACCCTTTCCTGGGACATTAAACTAACTTTAGACAATACTAGTTATGAAATTTGATATTCAAAACAGTCTGTTCGTTCTTTGTCAACTGGGGCACAGTCACGGAAATATGATATATTATAATCAACTATTGAAAACTATTAAATTACCATAACCTTTTCACCCCTATGTATTTTTAGTGGACTCTTCAATGGATTAATCTTGATCAGTCCATTATGGTCTACAGGAGTGAAAGGGATAAGCATGTGTGTTTAGAAGACGTTTTTGAAGGTCAGGAAAAGAAGTATCCCTATAGCTATCGCTACATATCTTGTATTCAGTAGTTAAACTGTCATAGCTATTGTAATTGTCAGCTAAACTAAAAGGATAATCATTATATTAAATCAAGGTATTTTTAAACTTTTCTTCAATATTTTTTTTTCATTTCAAATTTTTTCAATGAATTTCGAAAAACTTCTGTCCATGTACTGTTGTGAATGGCATTGAAAATATTGGAAGGGTACCTGCTGAAAGGACTTTGTTTAAATGGATAGAGTTTATCAGTAAACTTTAAGTGAACATGTGAGGTAATGTCCTGGGTCTATTAGACATAGATAAACTGTTCACCTGTAGACATACTTGTGTACACTCTGTCTAGTCTACAGGTGACAACACATGATTTATATCTTATATGATGAATAGTACAGTCACCTTTCAAATATGGAGTCTTAAGTACCAACCACCCCCACACACCACCCCCACACACCACCTCTACGCACACACACCATCTCCACCCACGCACACACACCATCTCCACCCACGCACACACACCATCTCCACCCACGCACACACACCATCTCCACCCACGCACACACACCATCTCCACCCACGCACACACACCATCTCCACCCACGCACACACACCATCTCCACCCACGCACACACACCATCTCCACCCACGCACACACACCATCTCCACCCACGCACACACACCATCTCCACGCATGCACGCGCGCACACACACACACACACACACACACACACACACACACACACACACACACACACACACACACACACACACACACACACACATCTCCACGCACGCACACACACACCCACCACATTCAGGTATACCCACTCCATACACTTTCTGCCCACACACACCACCTCCACGCACACACACCATCTCCACGCACGCACACACACACACACCACATTCAGGTATACCCACTCCATACACTTTCTGCCCACACACACCACCTCCACGCATGCACACACACACACACCTACACACACACACACACACCACAGTCTGGTATACCCACTCCATACACTTTCCACCCACACACAGCTCCCCCACTCTGTCGGGTATACCCCTGTACCTTAATCACACATGTCCACACGTCCCTTACACACACATACATAGCTAATCCACACAAACACTGACCACACTTTCGGGTATAGCCTCTTTGTGAGAGATGGTCTCTCTAGACAGGTATTTAACTCATTAACCCCTGAAGACACATTTGAACTCTTCCAATTCAAACCTTCATTGTAATTAGTTCATTATGAAATTTCAGGGGTTAATGAGTTAATAGCTTGTACTTTGTGTAGTTATAATGGGAGATTGTCTCATAAGACATGATTTATAAGTTGCCTGTATTACATAATTAGTATAGTTATCATTATTATGCATGTAGCTATATCAGGCTAGATAAAGTCATAATGCATCTGTAAAAAACCGACACGTATTGCCACAAATTTTATGCATTTTCTTTTAAAATTGCAAGTGTTGACTATTGTTAATAAATAACTTATTTATCCTATTTAATTAATAAGTTCAATACCATGCACAATGTCAGTCCAGTGTCTATAATGGAAAGGTTTACAGGATACACAGGTTTCTAGAAAGTCAACTGTGACCTGATGATATTACTATTAAAAAATATGCTAAATAATGCATACTTGCTATTTAAAGTCTCTTTATTTAATCAGGAGAGAGACGTCATTTTTCACCCCTAAGGTTGACTTTTGAAATCGGTTGGATTCCCACGCCTTGAATTTCGCTCAAACAAATTTGAAAGGTTGACAAGTGCATATGTTTGCTAACAGTAAATTTCCACAATTTGAACCCTGTCAATTGAAAGCCTTGTGACATTTATTTGAGAACACACCCAAGGTAATATAGATGTATATGTTAAGTGGATTCTGCAGTAAAACTTTGATTTATCATTTAAGATTATAATTTTATTGAATTCAGCTTTCCTGTGCTAGATAGACGCCATGTACCAGATAAGCTGGATTTATTTCTGTTTTGTGACACAATGTTATGAGATGATAACTTAAGATTCCTTTGAGGAAACGGATATTGAAAAAGCGAAGTGAATTGAATTGCAAGTGATGCCATTTTTGTATAGCTTCATTATGAGGTAATTAACAAATGCAATGAGACTGTAAGTAAACAGAGATTTAAATGTCACTGACACATTAATTAAACATGTAAATCATGACTCGCTATTTCAAATTCTCAAGGGTGATCTAGAGTTCACACTGATTTCAGCAATGTTTTATCATTGGTCAAACAACTTCAAGTTGCCGTTCTGTTGAAATTCCTTTGGTCATATGGTTGTGTACTTCAAGGCTGACGTTAATTCTGGGACATCTTTTTCATACAAATTACAAAATGCAATTTCTGCAACAGTTTTGGTATAAATAGTTAACATGAAACAGAAGGACCTTGTCTTATTCCTTGGCAGTGAAGGAAAATATATTTTCTCTTTTCAACAAATCATAAAAAAAGATGTTTGTTATTTTTTTTTATCAGGAACAATGGTATACTAAATTGTATTACATTTTTAGTTCCACTTCCATTCTATTGGGGGAGGGGGCGGGGAAAGGGGGGGGGGCATGTAGTATTATCCATTTTGATCCATATCTTGTTCCGTCCCTTTGTGTCCAGCCCTGATTCACCGTCTGGACTCTACCAACTTCTATTTCTTAACAGATTTTCATCAAAATTTATAAAAAGGTCAAGTATGAGTTTATATTACAGGGTTGTTTGAGGTCAATGCCAAGGTCGCTGTTGCTTTTTATAGGTCAACTGCATAGGGCCAATTAAGGGGCATTCATGTCTTACATTTTACAGTTTCTTTTATAGACGAATTTAGTGTAAGATTAATATCCATATTCTGACCATTCGTGATTGAACAAAACAGTGGGTTATAAAGGAGATTTAACACTGTGAGCTGTGACTGATATGATATGCATAAATCTTCTACGTAATTTATGTCTCAGTGAAACTTGATATCATGATAACTGGGTCTACCTGTACAAATTTACGAGTTATCTTGATCTATAATCTACTTCACAACAATGCAACATGTCGCTGGATATACTGTACACTTTCAAGTCTGTGATTATTAATTTATGTACATATGGTAATCATTTTTAATTAGTATACCGACTAATAACCAGGCAACACAGTAGAATCTAATTAATTTAAAACCTGTTACATTTGTCAGAAAAAATATGCCGAACAAATATGACACAATTAAAACTCTTGGTCATCACCAGGTGTTGAAAAGCGCGATATCGGTTTGTTTTTATTAAAAAATTACATTATCATGATATCATCCTTCTAATACTGAACTTGATGAACCAAAAATTGTTTTGAAGTTGGATCAATTAAGGAAGATTCTTTAAACAGTCTGGAGCCCCAATAATCCATCCAGTTTTTTTTCCAAGCCCAAAGCTAGCCCTGACAAAGTTGTTTTGAAAAAAGGCCAATGTATATAACCCCTGAAACACTGGCTTTATTCTGCTATATGTGTGTTGTAGGATAATTAGTGGTACATATTATATATAGTGGTAGGAAGTCAGCAAGGATTGTCTTTATATCTTATCACACTTATCACAGTTTGGATTCTATCTTGTCAATTCTGTATATAAACAGGAATATTTTTCTGTTTTTAAGATCTATTAGAGTCCCAGCATTTTTCTTTGTTTCTCCAATGAAGAGTTCAAATTTGTATTAAAAACATAAGGAAAAGTAAACATTGCAGACATTCTTATTGTATAAGTCTCAATGATGATTTTACGAAATTAATGAACCTATAATTTAAGTTCATTAATGTTAAATACATGTATTTAAGAAAATATCAAAGCTCTGATTTAATGAAAATTTCAATAGCTATAAATTCTAGAGACCTTTAAATATGATGTAATCATTGACCTGTAAAATAACAAAATAATCAGTCTGCTTGAAATAAATCAGCCGAGAAGAATTTTTTTTTTCATTATCAGTGATATTGAAGTACATACTTTTAGCAAATAGTTCTTTAAGATTTTATCTAAATTGTAAATTTAATTGATTTTTTCAATACGCGTATAAACATATAAGTTTTTATACAAGTTTTCGGTTCATGTAATATATCCTGTTGTGCAAAACCTTACGAGACAGACAGACATGTGTACATATTAAATATGACAAGTATGACAAGAATGTATATTAGACTAGTTAACAATTAGCCTTCTGTTCATAAGTAGCATGTACCTAATACTGAGGCCTTCTGGAATGTTTACACATTCTGAATCTCCTTAGCATACCTGTAATTATGGAAAGTACATTTTTATTAAAACTTCATAAAATGAAAAGACATTAAGATTCAGTTAATTTGTTGTAATGAAGGACAGGAATTTTGGGGTTCATACAGGCCGTAAAAAGTGCTGGAATTGAAGTCATATACCGCCAGTAACTGGACTATTTTATTTGAATTTTTGTGTTAATTAATATGAGTTTATCACCACAGTTCTTTGAATATTGTACATCGACAGTGCTTTGTTTTTATTTATTCTTACATAACTGTAGCTGAACAGAAATTTTCCAACCTGTTTTCCAAAACCTTTGAAAAACTGCAAAATAATTTTAAAAATTGAAAAAGTTTGAATTTTGTCTTGAAAAGTTAGTATATGTAGATCTAGACTCATTAATGTTACAAAATTTTACAGATATATATACTGTATAAGCTCAATATATCTCTAGTTTTCCTGGACAAATTTTGAATATACTGTAAATTGTTTTTAGCTTTGATTGGTTAAAATTTCCTTGTGAATTGTGAAATTTATTTAATATTTTGATTAAAACATTGAAAAATCTGAAGCTGCTTGAAGTGTTTGACCAACATTTTATAGCAAATGTAAACAATGTGTCAGTTTGAAATTGGTAGTGTTAAACTGACAATGCTTGAATCAACCTAAAGTTTGTATAACAAGCTTAATGAGACACATGAACAAATGCTTTTTCTAATCTCAGCAAAACATTGCAACTGTGTTCTTTTTGTAATGCTTGAAGGGGTCATTTGGACAAAGAATATTTAAACTTTTTGATTTAAGAAAGTATAATAAGTTCACAGTTTACATGATATTTTTGTTTCATTTAGCTGGTACACAACTGCAGGGTCCCACTGGCTTCAAGGACGGTGTTGGTCTACTGTATTGTAATAAAGGTCAAATAACAGACTATCTAAATATACTGGAGACTTCTTTTAAAGTCTGGCCTATTTCCAAGTTCAGGTTTTAGTAGTCAAAGTAAACAAATACTTCTGTATGCTTTGCATTCAATAGTTGAAGTAGCATATGTCTATAGCCTTTAGTTGTTGACATATCTTATGACCATTATAACCCCGTCATTTACACTTAAATCTGACAGTGTTTGTTTAGATATACATATATGTATAAAATACCTTACACGTCAGGTACACTATCATAATTCAAAATATTTTGGTCGTGGTATGTTACATTTTGGTGGGTTTATTTTGGTCAATCGGGTGATCAATTTGACAAACTTTAAGGCACCAAAATTTCTTGTATGTCAGTATTCAACGTTGCATTTTCCTGAACCCTAAAATGATCGGTTTCCTTTTCTTTGATCAATACAGACCTGATTTTGACTCTAAATTTGGTCGCCCAACCCTGAATTGGTTAGATAGTTTGTATCCTGTTACAATAATTTAGCATATAAATGTGTTGTGTAATACTGATCCAGGTGCCAGGATATAGAAAGGATTATTGAAAGGGGCTTGATGAAACACTTGTAGAGGTTTCCTTTTTAAAGATATCAAAAACAAATTCACCGTTCATCTCATTCTTTCATGCATATCACTGTCAACTTTCAAAGTGTAGACATCATCCTACGGGTTTAGTGTTAAGTCTTGTGACATTTTTGTGATGTTTATCAGGTATTGATTTAATACCTACTCTGTTATTAAAGTCATAACACCTATTACACTCACTGCATTAAACCCATGTTTAACCTTTCAGTATTTAGCCGAGCCGTGATTGGCTGTAGGTCTTCCCTAGCTAAGCCGTGATTGGCTGTAGGTTCTCCCTAGCTAAGCCGTGATTGGCTGTAGGTTCATTTTTGCTGAGCAGTGATTGGCTGTAGGTTCTCATTGGTCAGTTGTGATGTCATTGCCATACATAGGACAACTTCATGGCATCCCTTACGTACAGAAATAGAAAGTTTGCAGCGATATCGCTGCCAGAAGTGCACAGAATATCACCACTAGCGGTGACATTCCGGTGATGTTCTGGCACACATTTCATGTCGCCAGAAGTGCACTGCATATAAAATTCTGGTGATATTCTGGCACACTTTTCATATCACCAGAATGTCGCCAGAATATCGCTAGAATTGCACCACATAGAAGGAATTTCCATGATCCTCTGTAACTAAATATAATTGACCTGGCTATATCACTGCAAGTGCACCTCAACATTCTGGCTTTATCGATTCAAGTGGGCCAGGACAATTCTGGTGATATTCTGGTGATATTCTGGTGATATCGCCAGAAACCTTATTTGCACACGTAAATCTGAACCTGCAGTGATATTGGCACAATATAATGCTGCTACACATCACAGCAATAGTGTATGTACGGCCAGAGACTCCATATTTCTGTACGGAATCATGGTTACAATGTGGTCAGGTGGCACAGTGGATATTGTACGCACCTTTTATCAAATAGGCCAGGATTTGACTTGAAAAAGTATTTGCTGGGTCACTTGGCTGGCCACATACAGGTTTCCCCTGGTATTCCAGCTTCCTCCCACATTAAGACCCTCGGCACGCTTCGTCTGGATCAACCTGAGCGATTAATATAAGTTGCCACATGTTGTTTCATAATTATTGTTATAAAATACGTAAGGTTTGCTCTACATCACCATTTGATGCTAATTATGAAAAAGGCTTGGATTCAAAATGATGATATTTTAGATTTCAAATCATCCTCAGACAATGCTATTTTTTACACATACTATATAGCAGCAGATAAACAGAACTCTATATGAGTTTCTGTAAGATTTACCTTTTGACATAACAGTCATCCAAAAAATTTGATTTAACCCTTTCTTTCACCCCTTGATAGATCAATTATGGACTTGTCCAGATCAAAGGATGGAAGAATCTATAAAAGTTAATCAGAGGGGAAAAGGGTTAAAATGATCATCTATGTGATGGTGGTTTCACATAAACCATAGTCAGATCATATGAGATTTATTTTTTTATTTCCAGGACTACATTAGATGTCACCCAAACTGTATATTAGTGGACACGTTTGATTCGTTGAAGAACCTGATAGACAGGAACGAACAATACAAACTACTGCTGAGATGTCACCTTCTCGACTCAGGTACGTCAAATCGGCTGTTTTCACTTTTGTCAATTTGCTGATACGAACAAGATTGTGATTTTGGTCTTGAGAAAATGTTTCTGTTTTTGATTTGTTAAGCTTGACTGTTAAAGACAGTCTTTTCCCTGAGTTGCTTTTATTTCCCCGAACCCGGAGTTTTATTTTGTCAAATTAAGGCTAAGTTCATTTTTCGATGTTTCCCTTGAATAATTTGTTTAGCTTAGCTTGCACAAATTTTAAGTACTTGTGTCAGACAGTGCGGTTTATGTCATCCGTCATCTGTCCTTCATTGAATCACTTTCCTGTGTATTGGGTCGGGATCACAGGGGCCATAGGATATAAATATGTAAAATACTTCAAACAACTTCAACAAATGTATGTAGGAGAAGCTGTTTCAGGTTTATATCATACACAGGAATCCTAGGATCTTGATTTGATCATATAAAAAAACAAATTGAGATCTAGAGTAGTTTCTTGGCTTATTGTGTGCTGGGATGAAGGACCTTAAAAGTACTGTAAAATTTGATTGGTGTCTTACATGAACTGTATATTATATACACTTGAGATAGATCTTATACATATAGATGTATATCAATTTTAACTATCGGGACAAAAACAACTTTATGGAGAAAAAAATTATAACCCAAAATATGGTATTGGTTATTTATTCAAGCAGTTTATTATCTATTGATTTATTAAAACCATAGTTGATTCAAGGAAATAATTATTTTAAGGTTTGTGAAAATGATGAGTTATTTTCTGTTTTAGTAATATTTTCTACCACATTTTCATGCATTTTTTTTCCCAGTAAACTTTCACACAAAATCTTTCACAAAAAAGTTCACAAATAGTTTTTATTTTCACAAAGGACATAATCACAGGAATTAAATTCACAGGTTAGGAAGAATTGAGGTAATATATTTATTGATGTTGAATGACTGATGATAGCTGAACTAAAAAAATAAACTTTAACAACAAAGTACTGTGTACATTTACAAAAGTATTTAAAAATGCACAGCTAAATTTACATGTACAGAGATAAGGAATAAACGTTTGAAAAAGATAGAGAAAAAAAATCAAAATTATTTATAAGCCTATAGATATTTTTCAGAAATTACATTTTGAAAATTTCTGTTAATTGCTTGTTAATTCTTTAATCCGGCTATAAAAAGATTTGTTGATAGTGTAGGAGGATTCAGTTGATATGTAACATACAGGCGGTGTGAAACACAGATGGTAGGGTTAATGTTCGGTAGAATTTAAACATACAGGACATGCAAAAAGCAGAGTTTAGGGTGAGATATTAAATACAGGCAATGTGAAAGGGCTGGTTTAGTAGAACAATTATGGTATATGAAGGATAAGTGTGCTGGCGAGCAAGTTAACACTCTAACAGCAGCAGAGATAGGTTTAGTAGAACAATTATGATATAAGAAGGATAAGTGTGCTGGTGAGTAACTTTACAGTCCAGCAGCAGAGATAAGTTTAATAGAATAATTATGGTATATGAAGGATAAGTGTGCTGGTGAGCAAGTTAACACTCTAACAGCAGCAGAGATAAGTTTAGTACAACAATTATGGTATATGAAGGATAAGTGTGCTAGTGAGAAAGTTAACACACTATCAGCAGCAGAGATAAGTTTAGTAGAACAATTATGGTATATAAAGGATAAGCTAACAGCAGCAGAGATAAGTTTATTAGAACAATTATGGTATATGAAGGATAAGTGTGGTAGTGAGAAAGTTAACACTCTATCAGCAGCAGAGATAAGTTTAGTAAAACAATTATGGTAGATGAAGGATAAGTGTGCTAGTGAGAAAGTTAACACTCTATCAGCAGCAGAGATAAGTATAGTAGAACAATTATGGTATATGAAGGATAAGTGTGCTAGTGAGCAAGTTAACACTCTAACAGCAGCAGAGATAAGTTTAGTACAACAATTATGGTATATGAAGGATAAGTGTGCTAGTGAGAAAGTTAACACACTATCAGCAGCAGAGATAAGTTTAGTAGAACAATTATGGCATATGAAGGATAAGTGTGCTAGTGAGAAAGTTAACACACTATCAGCAGCAGAGATAAGTTTAGTAGAACAATTAAGGTATATGAAGGATAAGTGTGCTAGTGAGAAAGTTAACACACTATCAGCAGCAGAGATAAGTTTAGTAGAACAATTATGGTATATAAAGGATAAGCTAACAGCAGCAGAGATAAGTTTATTAGAACAATTATGGTATATGAAGGATAAGTGTGGTAGTGAGAAAGTTAACACTCTATCAGCAGCAGAGATAAGGTTAGTAGAACAATTATGGTATATGAAGGATAAGTGTGCTAGTGAGAAAGTTAACACTCTATCAGCAGCAGAGATAAGGTTAGTAGAACAATTATGGCATAAGAAGGATAAGTGTGCTAGTGAGTAAGATAACACTCCATAGCAGAGATAAGTTTAGTAGAACAATTATGGTATATAAAGGATAAGCTAACAGCAGCAGAGATAAGTTTAGTAGAACAATTATGGTATAAGAAGTATAAGTGTGCTGGTGAGTAAGTTTACACTCCAGATTATGGTATATGAAGGATAAGTGTGCTGGTGAGTAAATTAACACTCCAGCAGCAGAGATAAATTTAGTAGAACAATTATGGTATATGAAGGATAAGTGTGCTAGTGAGAAAGTTAACACTCTATCAGCAGCAGAGATAAGTTTAGTAGAACAATTATAGTATATGAAGGATAAGTGTGCTGGTGATAAATTAACACTCCAGCAGCAGCAGCAGCAGAGATAAGACATATTACAGGGTGTGTTTGTCCATCAGTGCCTGTATCACACCATCAACACCATGCTACCATGTCAGCAGGTCCTTTTGACACTGATAGATAATAATTGTAGCTACAAACGCTAAGTCAAGATACATTCCTCTGGTGTGTATTTTGCCTGCAGGCATAATTTATTAAAACCATCGTATGACCTCAGCTGAAATATCCCTACATCATTCTGCTAAGTAAGTGAGGGGTGATGTGTAGTAAGGTTACTGTCGAGCTTTAGGTTTGGGTATGATATACAAGTGTTTTTCCCACCATTGTAAGTAGTTGTTGGTCCAGTATCCGTCCTAAATAATTTTATTCATGCAAAAATTATTACACATTTTTTTTTTTTTTTCAAATTTCACATGAAAGTTTCCTTGGTCCTTGATTTTGCATGTTTTATTTTGAGACTGATAAAACAAAAAATGGCCACCTGACAACCATCTTAGATCTTGATAAGTACAGTTTGTTTTCCCATTTCTCAAGAAGTACATGACAGGTCTTTCTTGGTGGTCCTAATATAGCATGGAGCTCTTTAATACTAGGGCAGTCAGAGGGACTGTCTGTTCTTAGTGAGTTGTTTTCAGCATTATAGAGTTGAGAGACACTGGTCATTTGCAATTTTTGCTTGACAACGGAAACAGACATTTTCGAAAGCTTGCAAATAAGTAGTGTTCAATTGCTGCTTGTGTTCAAAACAAACTTAATTATCATACATTTTAGAACTCATTTGTAATTTTACATCATCATATATCATTGATATTTTTATAATCATCAAATCTGAAAGCAAAATGTGTCTGTGCGGAAATTGAAAATAATCACCCTCAGATCATATACAAAGATACATATATTTCAGCTTAATGACTCTGAAAATTTAATTTTGAAAATTAACATATATTTTTCAATAGACTTTAATATAATGGTCCTGTATAATTACAACTGCAGTGTTAATTGACAAATCAACAAGGATCCTAGAACTAGGACTTTTAGAACTCAAACACTTCACAAAAATTTCTTTAAAGACATATACAACCTTACTGTCTTGTAAATCTAATTCTTCAAAAGTGTTCCCTCTCCAAGGAAAAGTGTCAGGAACGACAATTTCGATTTAGCTAATTGATGACACGAAATTACATTGAAATGTATGATATTACTAAATAAAAGGTCATTGTGGATTAATGGTTTACGATACAGTAGTTTTATGAAGGGAGACAACTCTAAATTGAAGGGAGACAACTCTTAATTGGGGGGAGATAACTCTTATGTGTATGGTATGTTGTATAAAGTTGAAGTGTATTCGATAACAATACTCAGTATTCTTAAATACAATGCAATACTGAATGTTTATTTTAGTGATTGGCTAGGAACCTGGAGATCGAGGGTTCGATCCCCAGTGGAAGCACACTATTCTCTTTCCTGTTACACATGAATGGAAAACTTGATGCGAATCAGTCATCTGGAATAAAGTATAAATATCTATTCTTCATTAATTGATGTGTATCTTACATTTACATATATTCAAAATGATAATCTTAAGAACAGCAGTATAAAAAAATATACTTTTTGAGCTAAAACCTTGCAAAACGAAGCATTAATCACACTTGGCTAAATATATAAGGATCCTGATCCTAGCTACAGCTAATTAACAATTGAAAAAAATTCTACCTGTAGTAGTGTGTACAGATAAACTTAATCAATAATAGCTGGGTCAGAGTAAAAGTGATACATATATAGCCCAAGTAACGGCTATCGTCAGCTAACAGCGATCCTTAAGTCAGCCAAATCCTTTACATTCCACTTATTTTAGGCAGTTTCATTGTTTTTGAGGTTTTGTAAAATCCAGGGTAGTGATTTTCTGATAGATTTTACCGACCACTGGAAACAGTTTATAAGGGGTTTGTTTGTAGGTAGCTAGGGTAGAGTATGGATTTTCAGCTAAGTTCTTTTGGTAATACAGATATAGTAAGTAAACCATCTACTTATAGATGCCTGATCAATTTCGCTGTTTACTTATTCAAACAACATCATGCTATGTGTTACCATCGGTCTGGTTGTGTTGACTTATAAACAATCAGGCCCATCAATAATGCTAGGTAACAGGGTATGTATACTACAGGGTGGGGCCAGAAATATACCATCGTACGGCCGGCTATATGTTTATCCTTGAGTGCCTACTCAGGGAAATTACCCATATTCAAAAAACATTATAAAATATTAATTTCTTTTGAATTCGTCACAGGACCCATATCCAATAATAATGTAATATTTTTGCAGATTGTTATTATTTAGGTCCCCCCC